CACCAAAGTCTCTATGGCTTGGTTCCCTAAGCTGAAGTAGGTCAATGAGATTTTCACCCCATCCACCAGGCGACAAATTGTCCCATTAAAAAAATTAATAACTCACTTCTCCTTAACAAGCTGCACAATACATAATGTGGACTTGTTTGACAGCTAAAATTAGCTCAGGAGCTGGTGCACAATCAAAAAAGGAACAAAGCTGATCTGTAAATCAAATCTCTCATTCAGATTACATAGAGGGGTTTATTTGAACTACAAACCCCAGTCATTTGTTTTTTATGTAACCAGACGTATCAGACCAAACAGTATTCTGTTAATCACAAACTTGGGTGTACCAAGTTTTTGTGTGTGTGTAAATGTCTGTCTTTACACAAAGGGAGTCTGAAACACTCCATGCTGGAATCAAGAAATGCTGCTTTGGGACGCAATCTACCAAGCAACAAGCTTGTTGTGTAATCTTTTTAGATTACAACGCCACTGAGAGCTTTTCAACAGTAAAATTAGCAGTGGGAGCCTATATCAAATTACAAAAAGCTAAACCCGTTGAAGGAAATTCCCACTGTGGTGGACTGCATAAGACTACTGTGACTGCCTTAAAACATACAGCAATTTCCTCGATATGGCTCTCATAATGTAAGAGAACAGGTTGCATTGGTTTTACTCCCAGTATTTAGAGGCAGTGTTTTGTTTATCCAAAAGGCAATGTGAATAGTGAAGGCTGAGGACAACATGAAAGAATGCTATCATGTGTCAGACTACAAAACAGAGAGCTGAGTAACGCTCAATGCTGCTCACTGTACTGCTACTTACCTTTTCTTGTACTTGAGTGAAAGAGCCTTCCAGAAGTCAATTTCCTCGTCTTTGGAGGAGAATTTTGGTATCATATTTGCATCCATGACAGATAAACCTGCGAGATTATACAAAGCACCAGCACTGTTTAGCATACAAAAATGTAATCAGACATAAATACAGAAATTATTAATATTACCATTAACTGCAAAGGCACAGTATTATGCAAAAAATATTAACACAGCATGTCAATGGTGGCATCCGTCAAAGTTGGTTGCGTCTCCCAAGTGATAGATGAATTTGTGCCAATATACTGAGTTTTATTGGATGCATGCCTGTGACTTTAACCAAAAAAGATATGGAAACTGTTTTATCCTTCCTTTAAAAGTTAAAAGGCTATACTACCATTCAGAAGTTTGATGTTGGAAAGATTTGTTAACATTTTAGATAAAAGTTTCTTATGCTCACAACAAGGCTGCATTTATTTAATCAAAAGTATATTAAAAACAGAAATCTTGTAAAACAATATTACAATTTATTTGTTTTATTTATTGTTATTATCACATGATCCTTCCGAAATCATTATATTACAGTGTGCTAATTTGGCGCTCAAGGAACAATTCTTCTTGTTATTAATGTTGAAAACATTTTTATTTTATTTTATTTTTTTAAAGTTGCTGTTTAATATTTTTTTGTGGAAACCCTGATACATTGTTTTTCAGGATTCTTTGATGAATAGAAAGTTCAACAGAACAGCATTTATTTAAAATTAGAAATCTTTTGAAACATTACATATATTTTTTGATCAATTAAAAGCATCCTTGCCGAATAAAATCATCTTTAAAAAAAGAAAAAAAAAAAGACTTTTAAATGGTAGCATATTTATTGAGCTAACGATGCATTACTTGCAATAGTGACCCAACCAGGACAGACCTGTGACACATTTTTGTGTCAACCCACCAGTTGAGAACCAGTGAGATAAATCAACCTCTGATTTCACAATCTGAATCTAGCAGCATGAACCTCAGTTCACCTCTGACTACTGCTGTCCCAAATAATCAATAGAGCTCCATGTGCCCTGTTCACATACGCCAGAACATAATCACCCTCTGGTTATAGGTCATTGTCTGACATAGCATGACTCTTTACTTGGTAACTGTGATCTCAACACTAAACAGAAACAGAAGGACAGTCAAATAGTCCATCATAGACAAATTATATTTATTGAGATATTACGATAATGAGAATAGTGTACTAGACTCAATGTAGCCTCTAATCTACTTGACAACTAAAACTAAATCGAAACAGACAACTAAAACCCAGAAGCCTTACCGGCACACCCAGACTTCACTACTTTTTTATTTTCTTCCTGTTTCCTTATTTAATTCATTCTTTCTTATTAATTACTTCTCATTGCGTATCAAAGTTAACCTGGTATCCTCGTAATAAAATACTTAAAATCTGTTTTACTTACAATCATGCTATTTTCCATTTTTTTTAATTGAAAAGAGGTCTGTCTATAAATTGTATGTGTGACAAACTGTCAACACCTAATGAAACCTCTATAATTTATTATATATTATAATTAAAAAATGAAGCATCCTCAGAGAAATTAAAGGTGTTCACAAAATGAAGAAAGAAAGGTGGAAAGATGTTTAAAAATGTCTAAATAGCAAACAAGGATATATGTATATAAATAACCCTACATATAAAATATGTAAAATTATACCTGCTGTTGCCATGCAGCTCAAATATACATCTAAACTATACAGACTATATAGTCTACTCTAAACTAAACTATACAGTATATTTACCTTCAAATATACAGAATTAAATATTGATTTTCATTCACCTTAATGGTCATTAGAAACTCTTAATGAGCTGATTTATTTAAAATTAGAAATCTTTTGAAACATTACATATATTTTTTGATCAATTAAAAGCATCCTTGCCGAATAAAATCATCTTTAAAAAAAGAAAAAAAAAAAGACTTTTAAATGGTAGCATATTTATTGAGCTAACGATGCATTACTTGCAATAGTGACCCAACCAGGACAGACCTGTGACACATTTTTGTGTCAACCCACCAGTTGAGAACCAGTGAGATAAATCAACCTCTGATTTCACAATCTGAATCTAGCAGCATGAACCTCAGTTCACCTCTGACTACTGCTGTCCCAAATAATCAATAGAGCTCCATGTGCCCTGTTCACATACGCCAGAACATAATCACCCTCTGGTTATAGGTCATTGTCTGACATAGCATGACTCTTTACTTGGTAACTGTGATCTCAACACTAAACAGAAACAGAAGGACAGTCAAATAGTCCATCATAGACAAATTATATTTATTGAGATATTACGATAATGAGAATAGTGTACTAGACTCAATGTAGCCTCTAATCTACTTGACAACTAAAACTAAATCGAAACAGACAACTAAAACCCAGAAGCCTTACCGGCACACCCAGACTTCACTACTTTTTTATTTTCTTCCTGTTTCCTTATTTAATTCATTCTTTCTTATTAATTACTTCTCATTGCGTATCAAAGTTAACCTGGTATCCTCGTAATAAAATACTTAAAATCTGTTTTACTTACAATCATGCTATTTTCCATTTTTTTTAATTGAAAAGAGGTCTGTCTATAAATTGTATGTGTGACAAACTGTCAACACCTAATGAAACCTCTATAATTTATTATATATTATAATTAAAAAATGAAGCATCCTCAGAGAAATTAAAGGTGTTCACAAAATGAAGAAAGAAAGGTGGAAAGATGTTTAAAAATGTCTAAATAGCAAACAAGGATATATGTATATAAATAACCCTACATATAAAATATGTAAAATTATACCTGCTGTTGCCATGCAGCTCAAATATACATCTAAACTATACAGACTATATAGTCTACTCTAAACTAAACTATACAGTATATTTACCTTCAAATATACAGAATTAAATATTGATTTTCATTCACCTTAATGGTCATTAGAAACTCTTAATGAGCTGATGCGCTCTGTTAAACAGCACCAGATGTCATGCGTATTTACAGTCGGTCTAAAAACTATACGATAAATACATCTCCACAATTTAATCGTATCTACTGCCAACACAAGTATTGAAAACCAGAAACATCACATCTGACATATTTCTATCCAAATACCACTGACACCACCATAACTCCTCAATTTTCACTGTAGCGATACATTAGCTAGCCAAGAGCTAGCTGACATTAGCCGGCTAACAACAACATTGATGGTGCGCTTTGAATTGACACGAATAGATATGACAATGACAATAAAATTACGTCGAAACGCCTATTTGTGGCTACAGTGAGTGTGAAATGGTATCTTCTTTTTCTCAGATGATGTTGATGGAGCGCAGGAAGGGTGTTGTCTTATTATCTATAGCAGTACATCAGTGACTAGTGTTATCATCTGTGATGTTTAAAGATCTGCATCATGTGTTAAGATTGCGATGTGAATTGATGAACTCACCTGAACATTTCCAGGATCTTTAACGCTGATAGTAGGACTGACTGTGATCCTGCCACAGCCTTCAGTATTTCAGCATCCTCTCTCACTCATTCTCTCTCTCTCTCTCTCTCTCCCCCAATGACGTTTGTGTGTAGTGTAAAGTGATCCTGGCGACACCTCGTTCTTCCTCTTCTTCTTCTCTTTTTTTTTTTTTTGCATACCGCACTTATCAGTGCATGACGCCTCTTTCGGTACGAAAATAACGTAACAAATATGTTACTTTTCATGTATTTATTTAGGGCTTAAACGTTGTTAAATAACAACAGATATACTGATATTTATGAAAAGTTGGTTAAAAATAAAAATGTATTTATTTAGAGCTGAAATGTTATTTAAAAATAACATAAATATATTTACTTTAATAAGAAACTTGAAATAAATAAAGGTAAAGTAGGCCACTTTCTAATAATTTAATGATCCAATTGACTACATTTATCATGCTGTTACTTATATGGCCTAATGGAACAATACGGACATAATTATCTGTGATTAAGATTAGCAGTGACCCACTTTTTGATATCTGGTGTGGCAAATTATTTCGGATTTACCAGCTCTCCCACTTTGCTTGTTATATTCAACATAGCAATATAATAATAACATAAAAATATTTAAATAACTTTAATTAGAGAGAGTCAGATTTCAGAAAATGTCCTTACAAAATATACTAGGCCTATAGTAAATGCAAATTCCCTATAATACATTATTTGCTGCACGTAAAACTTAAATAACTCGCATAATAATTACGCTACCTATCAGTGTTTTGATGAAAAAGGAAAAATCATTCGAACTGTACATGGTTGTAACATCGGTCCAGTAGGTGGCGCTGTAGTTCAATACATATAACAGAATCACATCCACAGAAATATTACATGCCTTCACAAGAAAATTAAATATAGAATTAGTCCGATTAATTTAAATTAGACCAGGTTATTAGACCCATAAAAGTGATATGGAATGAAATGGAAAAACAGGCCTTAATTAACCCCAAATACAAACAATGAAATTACTTTAATAGTAATTAATAACAGTAATGTATTCTACTAATATGAGCATGGAAAAAACATTGATACACATATCATGTTTTGTTGATATTAAGATTGAAGTGTGTGGCATCGCTAGATATAAGGAAAGGTAATGATATTTAACTTAAATATATCACATTAGATGTATTTTTTTAAGACATAATTTGACAAACTGTCTAACTATTTAATTAACACATACTAAATTTGGTCTGAGTCTGACAGCATCAAAACACAAAATCCAGACGTTCATATATTTCCCATTGGAGGGCACTGTTACTTTTTTGCACTTGAGCTGAGAAGGACTTTTGGCTTTTAAGGTCATTCTGCCAGACAAATAATAAAAATGTCTCTATTTTTGACATACATTTTGTAAAAAATTATGGCGACAGACAACTCTCGTACATTTTTATACAGCACTTGATTTGTGAACCCTACCAAAATTGTGCACTAAAGGCCAGTGGGATAAAGCTACCACTATAGTTGCATAATATTAATAAAGCTATAACCACAGCGAAGAGAACAGCTTATATTAAGAACATTTCTTGCTCATGATGAGGGATTCAGTGTTACCACAGGCCATCAGTAGTTGCAAAGATTACTCAGGCTTTTTATCATTCATATCTGCCACTGCACAGAGTGAGGGAGCAGGGAGAGGGAGGAAATGGCTTGACGTGTGTCACTACAGTGTGAAGCTATCTCTCCAGGCACGGTGCTGCTGACAAATACAGTTATGTAGGAAGCAAATGTAAAGATTAACATTCATCCAGTGACAAACAGAAAGACTTCCACAGAGGGATTATGCCATTTTTGACTTTACATACTGTATGTACAACAACAAAATATGTACAACCCTTCCTGAACGTGTTCAATTTGCATATTCAATTTTACAAAAACATTAATACTTTTAAACCTTTTAAAATATGAACACTGTCTGTTAGCGATGTCCAATTCTTCCTCTGCTCTCTGCAGTCAGTCCTTGCCTCGGTATGTGATGTTTGTGAATGTTGATGTGGCACCTTTGTAGAGGGGGTTGTGGCCCTATAAGAATACAAATCTAGTTATCATTCAGTATGCATTTACACAGAATTCACCAAAAAAAAAAAAGCTGAAAATTGAAAATCTACGCACCCTCAAGCCATACAAAATTTAGCTTCTTCATAGGAACAGATTTGGAGAAATTTAGCATTACATTACTTGCTCCTCAGTGGATCCTCTGCAGTGAATGGGTGCCGTCAGAACGAGAGTCCGAACAGCTGATAAAAACCATCACAGTAATCCACAGTCCTCTAGTCCATTAATTAACGTCTTGTGTAAAGTTGCATGTTTTTAAGTAACAAAACCATCATTAAGGTGTTTTTAACTTTCCATCGCTTCTGGCTAAAATACAATAATAACGCAGTCCATCTCCTGTTATTCTCTCACATCAAAATCCACCAACATCTTTGTTTAAAATTATTTTGGACTGGTTTTGCTTGTAAATGGTGCTTGATCTTGATCCGATTCAGACGAGACAACTTTTTCACTAGAGAAAAGGCAATATTATGGATAGAGGACTCATATTTTAGCTGGAAGCAACAGTTTAAGTTAAAACATCTTAATAATGGATTTATTACAAACAGTTTTTTGCTTCACAAGACATTAACTGATAGACTGGAGTCGTGTGGATTACTTGTGGATTAATGTGATGTTTTTATCTGCTGTTTGGACTCTCATTCTGACGGCACCCATTCACTGCAGAGGATCTACTGATGAGCAAGTGATGTAATGCTAAATTTCTCCAAATCTGTTCCGATTAAAAAAAACAAATGCATCTTGGATGGCCTGAGGGTGAGGAAATTTTCAGCAAATTTTCATTTTTGGGTGAACTATTCCTTTAAACAAGTTACACACAAATTACACATATTTCAACATAAAAGTTTAAGTAGGGAGCTCAGTATTGAGCAGAGGGGATCAGAGGGTTCACATGTGGCTCGAGACCTCACAGGGAAAGCCTAATTAGCATTGGATAATTTAAAACAAAACTTGCCCAGGGGTACAGAGGCTTTTTCTTTGTTCTGAAGGGGAAAACAGCATGCCACTGAAACAGTAAAATCATCCTGCCAACATCTATAGTTCACCAAGCTACTTACACACAGTAATTTGAGCTTTTTACATTAAACAGAGAGGTGTGGGAGTGTAAATGTTTTTGGTTATGTATCCTGAGTTCTTTGATCAGTTAGCTTCTGTCTGAAATGTACTGCACTATGCATACAGTGTGTATTTTTGCACTTCACTAACCGTTTCCCACTTGGCACGTGCCCGCTCCTCCTCAAACTTAGCAAATTCACGCCGATCATGGATGGTGATGAGCAGTTTCCAGATAAGCAGGGCAGCCAGACCCAAGAACAAAATGGCACCAGCTACTGACAGGAGCACCACCAAGATATCAGGGCCTTTAGGACAGTCTATTACACAGGAAAAGGAAATGTAGGTGAAAGATGCTTCTATTTTAAAGTGTGACTTATGATGAATAGAAAGTTCACAAGAACAGGATGTATTTGAAATAGAAATCTTTTGAAACACCATAAATGACTTACTGTCACTTTTGATCAATGTAATACGCTACGTCCTTGCTGAATAAAAGTTAAAAAAAAAAAGCTATAGGCTCGCTTCTCTATATAGTCTTGTGTCTGTCTATTTGCTTCCTGTCTGAACCATTCCTATCCCAGTAGGAATTACATTGTGTCAGCAGGTTCTTCAGTAGCTTGGATGTTGTTTATTGCTGTGTGTTTTTACAAGGTGGGGTGCTCCCTGGGTTCCAGGGATGTGTGTGCCACTAATAGAGCCCATGTTCCACATGTGTGTCCATTAAAGCAGAGCAGCAGACTCTCACTGCGGGCTCCTGAATTTACAGCCGTCACACATTGCACATATACCTACACTTCCATACGCTTACGCAAACACCTAGAAACTAGAAACACTAATTCTGTAAATAATATACTTCCGTTTAGTTTTCTCAAACAATCTTTGTACAAAGATAGAGACCAGCGTCTCAAGCAAAGTAAACACATTGATTTTCTTCAGCAGTAAGAGCATTAACAGAATGTTACCTGGCTCTTTCACCAGAAACAAGATGGATTTGCCACTGTTGTCCTCATAGTACTGAAACCTTTGCACGCAGTCGTCCTCATCCTTATAGGTGCAATTCACTGCATTCTTATCATGGAAAACTGTATGGTAACGGAGGGTTACAAAAGAAGGCTACAGAAAAAGCTAGAATGCTATAAATAAAATGAAATAATAAAATAAAATGATAATGTGATAATGGTACCCAAATCATCCACCAGTCTGATTTCATCTCTGCAGATTCGAGTGCAGGAGTCATCATCGAAGAGTTTCCCTCTCTTAAAGTGCTTACACTCTACACAGTCCCTAGAGAGAGAGAAAGATCTTTTACTTAAATAAAGATTTGACATAAACTTTTAAACTTGAATTGCCTATGTTTGGATTAGAATACTAGTTTACTGCTTACTGAATACTGCATAGTATAACCTAGTAAAAAATAAATATACTAAAATGTATTTGAGATACATTTATTTCATGCTAAGTATACTACAAATACATTTACATATTTATGTCCTTAATAAAATTACCCTGCAATTGTACCTTTAGTATACTACACGGGCATACTTAAAGTCTGTTAATTAGTTGGAACAACTAATTTTGCACTTAATGCAATCTAATTGTGCGGAAGTAGTGCTGAAGACCAACTAAAGATATACTGAAGTATATATGATTGTGCTAAAGTGGAACTATTGCAAGTATACTTCAGGTACACTTTAAATATCTTGCATTTAAAGATCATACAATCATCATCAATAGTGACATTAAAACACATTTCAGGCTTAATATTAGGAAATGTGCATTGTGCACAAGTAGTACTCCAAATGAAGTTGAATTATAATTTATTATATCAGTAAGTCTCGAGTGATATGTCAGTAAATATGTCAATAGATTTGAACTATACTTAGTATGAAATAAATGTATTTTAAATATATATATATATTTTTTTTTACTAGGGTAAAGTATACTACTTACTGAATACTGTGTAGTATAAACCGTATACGTCCATAATATATTTTTTAAAAACTGCATGTGAATAAGAACGTCTTACAGAATAATAAACATTCCAAATAGTAGTGTTACATTGTGGTTACATGACCAGATCATATTGCATGCTAAATTCAACTATTGCCATCCAATTAGAAATACAAATGGTTATTTTGCACGTTTAAGGCTTTTGGCAGTTAAACCAAATAATGGGTCAAGAAATACAAGTTAATCACAGTTAAAACACTCTGTTCAAGCAATCAAAGGCCAATGGACATTTGAAAAATGCACATTTTGGAAAATGTACAAGGTCATCTCGGTATTCTATGCATACACAAAATGTACAATAAAATTTGTTGGTATGCTATTCTGAACATGTTATTTTATGCTTAATATAGGAGTTACGCTTACTTCTTCAAGGTACAGGCATCAGGGCAGGTGGGGCATTTGTCGCAGGTGGAGCCGTAGGCCCCAGGCTGAGTGCACTCACAGCTCCCACACACACACTGACCACGACCGCTGCACAACAGCCCCAAACTGGACATGCAGGTGTCTGTACGAGTAGAACAGTTGCAGTTCTCCCCCTTCCAGTCTGAATCACACTGGCAAAACCCACAGGAACAAGTGCCATGACCTGGAATGAGCCATGTAGGGAAAAATAACACAAAAATGGGAATGAGTGGGCAGACTCCACATGATTGTAGAATTTAGACACTTTTTTGACCATCTATTTGCTTGTTTTACCCGTGAAAGAAAGCTTTCCATGATGAATCTCATAATGTAATAAGGTAAGTTTGAACCTGAGCCCATAAAAGTGCCTCATGTACGGAGTTGTACATTCCATACATGCATAGAAAAAAACCGACTAATTTCCAAATATTATGCTGAGGCTTTCCATGTTTAACAAATTAAATTCCCCAATCACACTCAGCTGTTGTCAAACAGCTCCATCTTTCATTTTTTATTACAGAGATTTCTAAAAATGGACATCTGGGGCCTTGAATGTGAGGAATGTGACAGAACTGATATGATAGTCGTAATATATTTCACTTGACGTTCAATGGCAGAATGCTGAGCTCCATTACATGCGTGATTTACAGTTATAATTATAAACACATTTGCAGCAGTGTGCATGTTTGCTTAGGAGATTACAGTGCTTTATTCCTTAGCAAAACAATGTTTATGAGTGATTTGGGATTTTGGTTGAAAATACAACAATGATGCAGCTAAATCAAAAACAAAACCACATGGAAATAGAACAATGGCTAACCAAATGTAAAAAATAACATTGTATTGTGTGTAATTATTCTTCCCAGAGACAACAATACAAACTCTTCACATCAGCCTAAACACCACTTTACTCCCTCACTGGGCTATTTTTGGTTCACTGACATCATCAGTGTGTGACAACGCAGAAAGGCATTTTCTGGATTACTTGGACCTCTGGGAGTATGCTGTAAGAACCTTCTTGTAGATCTACAAGATGTCTTCTCTTAAAAATGCTCAGTTTGTTACAGCAGAGGCTGAAATCTTTTGGAATCACGACTACAGAGATCTGGTTTTGTTTAAGTGAGAAACCAACCCCCTTCCAAGAGGTACACAACTTCAAGAGGTGCACTATAGCGTTTTATAGCCCACCCGGAGCCCACTGCTCCGGGTGTGTGTTCACGGTGTGTGTGTGTTCACTGCTGTGTGTGTGCACTTTGGATGGGTAAATGCAGAGCACTAATTCCGAGTATGGGTCACCATACTTGGCCACATGTCACGTCACTAAAAAAAAAAAAATAGTTATTATTTTTTTTACATAAACTCTTCGGCCATTCCAACTCAAACGCGCCCCAGTGGAACATCAGCACCTCGTCTGAAGAACAAACACACGTCTCAAATAGGTCAACACATGGTTTAGCCTGCCAAGTCCCACAGAGCCTGTTTATTTATAAGAGAAATTCGTTCTTCGACTAGCACAGGAGACATTTTAGTGTTATTGTATAATTCCTTTGAGGTGAGGTAGGGAACAAGGAATCTTACTCGTAAAGAAAGACTTTTGTACAATATAATAGGCTGTGAAAAAAACATGTTGTGAGTTTGTCAAGGCTGAGATGCAGGAGCCCTAAAAAGTATTTGGACCCCTAGGTCTCTTTAAAAATGTATAAGTGTCTTTGCATTATATAACAAAATATTAAACCAAGTGGCATTATGTTGTGCTGTTCAAGCAAATGTTTCTGCAAAAAGACATTTGTAATAATTTCTATGGTAAAACAAAATATATATGTTTAAAAATGTAAAAATATTCACTCATAAGAATCATTTGTTTGGGAAACTGACTACATTAGTTGCACTGTATGGTTTTGATTCACTAAAAAGATCAGACTCAAAAGAATAATTTGTTCGGGAATCTGACTACACTGGTTGCTCTGTTCAAAAGAATCATTTGTTCGGGAATCCGACTACACTGGTTGCACTGTATGGTTTTGATTCACTAAAAAGATCAGACTCAAAAGAATAATTTGTTCGGGAATCTGACTACACTGGTTGCACTGTATGGTTTTGATTCACTAAAAAGATCAGACTCAAAAGAATCATTTGTTCGGGAATCCGACTACACTGGTTGCACTGTATGGTTTTGATTCACTAAAAAGATCAGACTCAAAAGAATAATTTGTTCGGGAATCTGACTACACTGGTTGCACTGTATGGTTTTGATTCACTAAAAAGATCAGACTCAAAAGAATCATTTGTTCGGGAATCCGACTACACTGGTTGCACTGTATGGTTTTGATTCACTAAAAAGATCAGACTCAAAAGAATAATTTGTTCGGGAATCTGACTACACTGGTTGCACTGTATGGTTTTGATTCACTAAAAAGATCAGACTCAAAAGAATCATTTGTTCGGGAATCCGACTACACTGGTTGCACTGTATGGTTTTGATTCACTAAAAAGATCAGACTCAAAAGAATAATTTGTTCGGGAATCTGACTACACTGGTTGCACTGTATGGTTTTGATTCACTAAAAAGATCAGACTCAAAAGAATCATTTGTTCGGGAATCCGACTACACTGGTTGCACTGTATGGTTTTGATTCACTAAAAAGATCAGACTCAAAAGAATAATTTGTTCGGGAATCTGACTACACTGGTTGCACTGTATGGTTTTGATTCACTAAAAAGATCAGACTCAAAAGAATCATTTGTTCGGGAATCCGACTACACTGGTTGCACTGTATGGTTTTGATTCACTAAAAAGATCAGACTCAAAAGAATAATTTGTTCGGGAATCTGACTACACTGGTTGCACTGTATGGTTTTGATTCACTAAAAAGATCAGACTCAAAAGAATCATTTGTTCGGGAATCCGACTACACTGGTTGCACTGTATGGTTTTGATTCACTAAAAAGATCAGACTCAAAAGAATCATTTGTTCGGGAATCCGACTACACTGGTTGCACTGTATGGTTTTGATTCACTAAAAAGATCAGACTCAAAAGAATCATTTGTTCGGGAATCCGACTACACTGGTTGCACTGTATGGTTTTGATTCACTAAAAAGATCAGACTCAAAAGAATCATTTGTTCGGGAATCCGACTACACTGGTTGCACTGTATGGTTTTGATTCACTAAAAAGATCAGACTCAAAAGAATCATTTGTTCGGGAATCCGACTACACTGGTTGCACTGTATGGTTTTGATTCACTAAAAAGATCAGACTCAAAAGAATCATTTGTTCGGGAATCCGACTACACTGGTTGCACTGTATGGTTTTGATTCACTAAAAAGATCAGACTCAAAAGAATCATTTGTTCGGGAATCCGACTACACTGGTTGCACTGTATGGTTTTGATTCACTAAAAAGATCAGACTCAAAAGAATCATTTGTTCGGGAATCCGACTACACTGGTTGCACTGTATGGTTTTGATTCACTAAAAAGATCAGACTCAAAAGAATCATTTGTTCGGGAATCCGACTACACTGGTTGCACTGTATGGTTTTGATTCACTAAAAAGATCAGACTCAAAAGAATAATTTGTTCGGGAATCTGACTACACTGGTTGCTCTGTATGGTTCCGATTCTGTAAAAAGAACTGGTCATAAGAATAATTCGTTCGGGAATTCGATTACAGTGGTTGTACTGTATGTTTTTGATTCACAAAAAAGAAACAGCTTATATGAATAATTTGTTCAGGAATCAGACTACACTGTTTTCACTGTATAGTTTTGATTTACTGAAACCAATCCACTCATAATAATCATTTGTTCAGGAAATGGACCACACTGGTTGTACTGTATGTTTTTGATTTACTAAAAAATGTCTGAATGTCTCAAAACTCATAAGAATCATTTGTTCGGGAATCGGACTACACGTTGCATTGCATGTTTCTGTTTCTCTAAAAAAATGACTCATATGAACAATTTGTTTCCATATGAGAACATCATTCAGTTCTGGATTTTTTTAAAATTCGGTTTTCAGTTCCTAAACCTGGAAAAAATGATTACTTCCCCCAAATTTGTTTGCAAATGCCACTGGGTTGGATATTTTGCATCTGATTCAAATACATTTACACATTTAGTTTAAAAGTGTCCAAAAACACTTGTTGGGATCACTGTTAATGTCACATCCAACAGTCTAATAATAAAACTCTATCACACTCTCTATCATCCACAAATCTTTTCTTACCTGAGCACAGCTCTCCTTTGTACCGCAGGCAGCTGAAATCGTCACACTCACACCTCTTCCCCCACACCTTGCCGAAATCATTATTGTGGCACACACACTGGCCACACACACAGTCTCCACGGCCGCTGCAGACCACTTTGTCTGGCCCGGTGCAGGCGTCCTGCTCGGTGGGGCTGTAGTCCCCCTCTGCACATTCACACCTGGGACCCAATCGTCCCGGGTTGCACAGGCAGATCCCACACTCGTAGGTGCCATTGCCATGGTGACAGACGGGACTGTCAGGCTCTGCCTTAGCTTGGCATTTACACTCACACTCGAAGTTGACTGTGATCTGCAAGGTGTCTTTGAAGCCCACCGGTTTGATGGTGAAGGTCTTGCGCTTCTCTTTAGGACAGCCTCTGGCCCGAGCTTCTACACTGAAGGATACCTGGGGAGATGGGATTGAGGGAGTGTGGAGTTGTTACAGAGCACTGGTGTTCACAAACATGAATTATTATACATTACAAAGTTGTACTGTAGGACCATAATAGGCTTTGGGGTCAGATTTTTTAAAGAAAATTTATACTTTTAATCAGCAAGGATATAGTAAATTGATCAAAGGTGACCAAAAATTATTTTGGTTTCCACAACAATATTAGCAATAAGTAGCACATTTGTTTTCAACATTGATAATATTAGAAATATTTATTGAGAACCAAAAAAAAAAAATAGAAAATAGGTACTATTTTGAACTGTAACTATTAAATATGAAATATTTTACAATATTACTGTATTTTAGATTAAACAAATGCAGCCTTGATGAGCATAAGAGTTTTCTTTCAAAATATTATAAAATCGAACTGACCCTAACCAATTAATTGTAGTGTATATCCAATAAAATGTAAATACAACAAATAATTGAATATTAAAAACATGTATAAATGAAATATTATAATTATAATTAATGAAAATATGTTTTCTAATAATGTCAAATCAGTACTTTACTGGTCTGTCACAGCAATGTAATGTTTTTATTGTTGTTCACCACTTGAAGACTTGATTTTTGTAAGTGAAGTATATATATAATATAGTAAATATATAATATAATATAATATAATATAATAATTGAAAATAAAATAATATTTGTTCAGTCTTATATTTCTTATGGAGAATGTTTAGCCATTATGTACATGACATACAGTATGTGAGTGTTATTCCATTGCTGACAGTCAGTGAGTAGGCTGCCTAACATGTGATTGTGTTGGACTGACAGACAGTCTGAACTGAAGGCTGGGTGGTGTGAGTCAGAGCAGCACGGAAGAACAGGAAACAGGCGAGTCTGATCCTGAGACACACTCAGCAAAAAGAGTAATGGCACAGTTACACCCACTTGTCCTGAATGTGTAAAAGTTTTTACAGTTGACCATTTATAAGGAAGGGAGTGAAACCACAACATTTCATGCAACTCATTTATCGAAGAAGGCTGATGATTGCACATTAGAAAGGACATTTCCTGTGCTCCTCCTCTTGTGGAATATGTCAAGACCTCAGAGTGGGTATATGACTGAAAAGAAGGAAGTGACCGAACTGACCGTAGGGGAGTTTTGGGATGAGTGGTTTGGTTGAGTTATACCAGGAATTTTAGAGTGAGAATAAAGTAACAACATGAAATCCAAATGAGGTGGATGAAGAATATTAGAGAGATGGACAGAAAGAGAGAGATAAAGAGAGAAGAGGATACTGACGGTATCTCCTCTTTTGAGGCCAGAGCAGGATCTTAGCCCAGGGATGACCTCTCCATTGAGACATGTGGCATTAAATGTCAGACTGAGCTCTTCCGGGACATTCAAGAGCTCCAGCTCAACCTTAGAACGCAGTTTCTGTTACACAAACACACAAACACAACAGCAAACAATAGATCAGTAACCACAGACAATCTGAATGGAGTAAAGCCTTTTAAAGGAATGCTCCAGGTTCAGCACAAGTTCAGCTCTATCGTTAGCATATGTAGATCATCACAGAAAATCATTCTATAGTCCATTGTCCATTTTCAATAGAGATGTATGACAGAGATGTACAGAAACATTTCTTAAACTTAAAGAAGTTGTATTGAACCTAGAAATTCCTTTTTAGTAAATGTAAAAAGGGACATTACAGCGTATGCATCCTGGATCAGCTGGATGACATTATGAGAGTCCTCGGACAGCGTGCCCACCGCAGTGCCAGGGATCAGCTCACTGTAGTTCTACAATGGATAAAGAGAGCGAAAGAAGGATAAATCTTTGAAAGTGATCTTAAAAATCATATTAGGAATTTGCCATACTGATTTACAATAACATTTATTACCCTTCTTACCTTATAGAGTGATTCCACATGGCTAGTCACAGCAAAGATGAGATTTATATTGTTCTCTGACATTTTCTCTGTGATTAATGCCAGGGATGGGTAGTCCTGAAAAAAATGTAATCCATTAGTATGTATAAATAAAGGTAATATAAACTTAATTTAAGAGTTTTCATATGCTGTACAGTGTGTCTAATGCTAAATACCCTATCAAAGTGAATGTTTTGTCTATATGTTTCACCCAAAATTGACTAAAATGTAGGGATGTAACGATTTACTCTACTCACAATGCGATATGATTCACAATATTGATTTCACAAAATGATTTTCTCACGATTTTTTTAACAAAATGAGATTTAAGACATTATAAAGGCTTTTACAAAATGGTGCACATTTCTTTGTAAAATTGAATTGTCAACTAACAAAACTAAATTTAAATTTTAAAACAAAAAGATATCTCTTCATTTAAACAAACTAAGGCTTTGCCTGTGCTCTATCCATTTAAAATCAGAGGCAACCAATGTATTTTAATCAAAATCCAAACAAAGACGCTGCATACATGCAGCATGAGCAGTTTTTAAGTCAATTAATCTAAATTGGATTGTATCATTTCGAAATTTGAAACAAAAACAGCTTTGTGAAACCTTACTATATTAAACATCTGCATGAAACAAAACCAGCAGGCGGGCTGAATGAAAATGCAAATTCACTCTCTGACAGCAGGTGGCACTTATGGAACAGCGTTCCTTGGTTAACGCTGTAAACAAAGCAGCGCTGTGCTTATGAACACTACATTAATATGCATTAAAGGCAAGATGAAAAGAAAACACCATGTAAACTTTTCTAAAGACAGTCAGTTCCCCTTAGAAACACATTCAAATGAACTCCCACTCCCAGTTGTATCGTCATTCGTTTAACATCTCAACTGATTTGAATCGTCACATATTTGTATCCATTTTCAACCAGCTCGGGGTGCATCGTCACATCCCTACTAAAAAGTCATTAACAAGATCAGCAGAATACCATAGTTGTAGACATATTGTAGACGTTATCTGTGCCCACATAACATTGGCCATCATTGGGTCGTACAATGCCCGCCAGGCGCCCATCGAGTGCCACGTGTGTCTTCGCATCTGTGGTGAAAACCAGTAAGTGGGATGCACCTGGTCTCCAACCAATTTTCTCCTGAGAAAAAGACAAAAGTGTTCAAATAAGAAAACTTATTTTGGGCCAAAAATAACCAATGCAAAAGCTACTTGTATTGTAAAGTTCTCTGTATTTATTTTTGCTTGTTTAGAGCGTTCAACCTTGCACACGGCTGCCTGTATAATGGCATCAAAGCCTCCTTCTGGCGCGTCCCTGTTCCGAGACACCTTCTGTTTCTTCACTTCCTCTGTAAAGCGGCCGACCTCCTCTGTCAGAGAAAGAACGTGTCTGTAGCCAAACTGAGGTTGGCATTTGTATGGGATCCTATGGAAGATAATGTATTAAGATGTAGAAGGATCAGAAAAGAACATTAACGGAGAGAATTCAGAAAGTTACAATATTGGTTCTTCACGTTTGCTGACACAAATGAGTCTCAACATTTAAGCTTTAGAAAACAGCTTACAGCATAACACTTATTTATGTACGTAACTCAGCAAATGGAGACACTTCAACCATAATAGCAGTGTGTCTAAAGATGTAATATCAGATTCTGTCAGCCAACAAGTCAACCGCCCAATTACAAGTTTGAAATAAACACCCATCATCTGTAATGTTTACGTTCAGTGTGTAAATACATGTCATCACTCACGAGTAACAGGGATTTAACACGGCTTCTTGAGGTGAGATGTACATGTACGGGGACACGGGTTTATCCACGAAAGCCCCAAAGCCCATGCGTAGATTGCTGGTGGTTTTACTCATCTCTTCAGCCAGGCCTCGCCCCAGCCGTCGCAGCTGCGACAGGTCGTCATTCATGGAGTAGGACAAGTCCATCAGATAATACAAGTCCACAGGGTAGTCCTCAACCTGACGGACTTTCAGTGTGAAGACCTGGGAATCATCTGTGGGACACCAGAGTAACTATTTGGTCTAATGGAGGAACATGTGGTCACTTGTTTATGGGTTGATAAACTCACCGGGTCTCAGAGAGATGTGCATGCTCTGAGGTTGGATCTGGGTGACGTCGGTGGTGGATCCCGAGGCCTTGTCACTGAGATCTTTGTTCTCTGTCACATGCATTTTGCTGGTGGGATACTCCAGAGCTCCTCTTCTGCATCCTGCTTCTATGAGGCTCTTCTTCAGGTCACATCGGGAGGAACCAGGTACATTTTGTCCAAAATCCTGATAAGCATTTGGCAGACAGTTATACTGGTATAGGGCACTAAATAAAGATTGCAGCAGCAAACAGAATTACAAAAAACACTCTCCTCATCTGCCACTGGTCGAACAAATAAGGTAGTCCTGACCCCCAAATCATGCTAATGGTTGAGTCAGTATTTTTTTTGTATCCAGACGTCACTCAGAAAAAAACAATTACTGGATTTTTCGTCACAACTAAGGACAATCCTTATTTTACTTCCTGAATATCAAAAAGCTGGAATACATGACTCACACTTTTATGAGATAAGATGTTTCAGAACAACAGTAAAGAGAAAAACAAAGGAAGACTTGCTTTTCATTTTTCCTCTTAATAAAGATACAATGGTTGTGAGGCTTAAGTACTGGCATTGAAAACATTTCAAACTGTTTCCATCAGACATTCGCTTTAAGTTGGTATGAAAAGAACAAAAAAAATCTCTAAATGCATGTTAGATTCACACCCATTCATTTCATTTTTTGTATTTTTAACTACTTATTAACAGTAATTTATTCGGAACTCTTATTTTTGTTTTCGAAATGTCATAACTCATTTTTTCTCTAAAATGGAAAAAACTTAATCTCTTTCTTACAATCACCTGCAAGCTCACATTCTGATTTGCCTCCATCCAATCAAAAACCGATGGGTAGATGTAACAAGAATAGATCTGTCGCTACTTAAAGGGATATTTTTCTTACAAAAACGCATCGATTCGCTACAGGAGGCCTTTGTTAACCCCCCGGAGCCGTGTGAGACACTTTTTTTGTGGAAGGGTGCTTTTTATTTCACGTCTTTTGGACAGAAGGAATGCAACACCCGCTGAGTACAACGATAGAGCTTGAAAGATCAAAGACAATTTTTAATATAACTCCGACTGGATTCGTCTGAAAGAAGAAAGTCATATACACCTAGGATGCATCGGGGGTGAGTAAAACACAGCCTAATTTTTATTTTTGGGTGAACTAACCCTTTAAGTTTCATTGTGGCTTTAAAATGTCACTGACTACTCTGGTGGATGATGTGGACCATGTAGAGGATTGTAATTGCTTAAAAACTGCAAAATTATGTTTTATCATAAAACAAAACTACTCCTTGACCCACAGATGAGTCAGTCTACTTTAGTGTTATCAAGCCTGATTAATCTTCACAGAGTCATGATCTGAGCACTTGAATATTAATATTGAAAAATAGGGAATTTCCATAGGCATAATGGTTTTTATGCTGTACAAACAGTATTTTCCTATCCCCCTACACCAACCCTACCCGTAAACTTAAAAAAAACCTCAAATAAATCATTTAGTATTTTTTTTAAGCCTTTTGAATTCAGGGAATTCAAGGAAGTGTCCTCCTTCACATTGTAATATCGATATTATACCCATGTCATTATACAAATATGTCCTCATAAACCACCTAAACCTGTGCAAACATACTACAACCTCTAATATTAAAATTCTGATTTTTTTTCTATCAATCATACAGCTCCCGACTCCATCCAGGAATCTTAATACTGTAATAAAATCCAAAATAAACATTTTTCAGCTCAGTCATTAAACACTGTAGATCACCACACCTCTTGAAAGCACCAAGCACAGGTAGGATGCACTGCCAGGCACTGCTGACATGTGCTGGCTCCTCGAGAAGTACAGATGTTGGAACCTGGGAGAGAAAGAAAAGCGCAAATTTTCTATCCCCAGTTGCAATTACTTTGTAGCCTGCAGGTTTATAGAGACAAAAGCATGTCTAATCATTAACATATGATCTGATTTATTAACTCCATTTGTGGGGGATTTAAACAATCAATGTGTATCCGCATTGTTGAGATGTTTTGCATCAGACAAATAATTTCATAAACATAAAGTTCATAAAGTTCACACACTCTAAAATATGCTGGGTTGTTTCAACCCAACTTTGGGTCAAATATGGACTAACCCAACTTTTGGGTTACATTTTTACATTACATTTTTAACCCAAAAGTTGGGTTAGTCCATATTTGACCCAAAGTTGGGTTGAAACAACCCAGCATTTTTTAGAGTGCATACACATATCAGGCTTTTATCAGACCTGATCTGTCAGATATACTCAGAGCATAAGTCAAGTGCATACTGATCAAAAGTCTTTGCCGAAGTCTTTTATAGTGGGAAAAATGTTGGTCCATGTAGTGCATCTAACGAATAATGTTGATGTTTTAGGGAAAGAAAGAAAGGCAATTAAAAAAGTGTGTTCAGACGAAATTAAGGATAGAAGCAAATTATTTGACAGTCAGAATTAAGTCAAATATCTTCATCCGCTGTCTTGAACCACATAAGTTCAGACATAAAATATATGATAAAATATAAAAACGTAATCAAACAAGACAAAAAAAGTAACAGGACACAAGCTATAAAACAAGTTTACAGAAACTGAAAAGACGGGACGTACCTAGCCCAGCATCAGTTAGGAATACAATTACGCAATAAATCCATAAACTGAAGAGTTTAGGTGAAGTTTTCTCCATCTCGGTTAACTTGTCAGTCAGTTGATACAGGCGTTTATCGCTCTTCTCTACTAGTAGGCTACATCGGCGGTTTGTGCGGTCTGTGCCCTCCTCCTCCTCTTCCTTTACGCTCCAGCACAGACATCGGACCAACACCAAATATAGAGTAAATTGTGGCAAAACTGGCTTTATTTCCGAGAGAGGGGGCAGAGGAGGGGCCGACTCGCGAACATTTGCCGCAGGTCTTGTATGGAAACCATAAATTCCTTTAAAGGGGTCATATGATGCTATTTTAAAGATCATGTTGTGTATTTGGTGTAACAGAATATGTTGACATGCTTTAATGTTAAAAAAACACATTAGTTTTCAAATACTGTACATTATTGTCACAGTGATTAAAACAGTGTATTTTTTTTTTATTTCCTTTTTTTTTTTTTTTACGACGATCACAGTGTTAACATCACTGACTTAAGAAAAAAATGAATGGACAAACTGACGCATATATGAGAAATGGAACAGCCTGTCTGACATAGGCTTAATCAAAGTGGACATAATCACGTTTTTTAAACACAGGCTATTAGAGATTTCAGTAGGCTAACACACGGTAATCGATTAAATATAACAGAACACAGATTACCCACACAAAACCTTTTCTTCCCCGGTATGTTGGATTTTAATCATGGTAACTGATAATTGAACAATGATGCAATGAAAAGCTTATAAAGCGACGGAGGTTTTCATATAAGTTGTTAAAAACGGTTGTGATGGATTATGACCAATGATGAATTATGAATTATTTTCTATTTCATCTGCCTAATCATGTCATACAAAAGTTAGTCTGGACATTTAGGGGTTGAAGTAGGCTAGTGGTTAGAAACCAATCGAATTTAGAGAAATTTAAATTATTTTCCATTTCATCTGCCTAATTTGTCAAATTCTAATTCATTACACCTCAAACGTAATTTTTTTTCATAGTGACCACTGTTCACAGGAAAACGTGTTAGGCTATCTGTGGTAAACTTTCTTTCAGATCGTTGTAAGTAGACCTAACACAAACAAAAGGATAGACAAATTAACAGTCTCCCACCCATCTACGAATTTCTCTATAATTTACCCAGATTATATGGGTACTGTTCTCCCTCTAGTGGCTAAATTGTGAATATTTTACTTAGAGAAAAAAGTTTTATGTCAAGCAATCTTTTACTGAATATATATTTTAAAGTATTAAAATAGAAAATGATTTTTTATTATTTAAAATTGTAATGTGCCTAATATTTAACGATATTATAAATGTAGCCTTGATGAGCATAAGAGACTTTAGTAGGCCTACCAACAACAAAAAAATCATTCTGATCTCAAACGGTTGAACGGCAGTGTATATATTAGTCACATATCACACATTTAAAGATTGACCAATTATGGAAAATACACAAGTAACACAACCCTCATTTACAAGTTCTATCACATGACTTTTTTCTGTTGTTATTCTTTGCACTACAGCTTAATGCATGTGGTCATGTGGACTCTGAAACACATAAAATAAAATATTCACAGTCATAAGCTGAAGCAAAAGAGGCAGAATAGAAAAAACACATCTATGTACTGCAAGAATAACTTATTTTCCTCACTTAAGACATAAGCCCTACTCATCAGCATCACCTTTTCCAAAATACAAAATCATTCTTTTTGAATTGTAATGTCGATTGTAATTCCTCATGCCCTGCTTACCCATGATTTCACATTACATATGAGTTACTGTTACCAAACACACATTTCACACACTTCTCAGTTCCAGTAATTTGGTTATAAAACGCATCTGAATCTGAATCTATTTAATACATTTCCCCTCTTATCTCTGATTTTATTACATATCATGTTGCATGCACTTTCTTCTTTTGCTGAGCATAAAACATACACCATATGTTCCAGCTGAAATGTCATGCATAAATATCAGCTGAACATTTTGCTTTAATTGTTACAGAAATGAAAGAGTTCACCCAAAATTTAAAATTAGCTGAAAATGTACTTACCCTCAGGTCATCCAATATGTAAATGAGTGTTTTTCTTCATCAGAACAGATCTAAGAGAAATTTAGTATTACATAACTTGCTCACCAATGGATCATCTGTAGTGAATGGGTGCCGTCAGGATGAGAGTCAAAACAGATGATAATTATCCACAAGTAATCCACACGACTCCAATAAACAAATTCACCATTGAGATGTTATTTAATTTCAAACCATTGCTTTCAGCGGAAATCATCTATCCAAATATTGCTTTCTGCAGTGAAAAATTCATTGTCATGTCTGATACAGGAGAGAAATATGCACAGATCAAGCATCATGTACAAGCAAAAACAGTCCAAAACAGTTCTAAATTTTTGATGTGAGAGGACAACAGGGAATGGATTTTTTAAAGGTTTAAAGTTAAAATGACTAATTGATTAACTGGAGTCGTATTCTGGATTATTGTGATGTTTTTATCAGCTGTTTGGACTCTCATTCTGATGGCACCCATTCACTGCAGAGAACACATTGGTGAGCAAGTTATGTATTGATAAATTTATCTAAATCTGTTCCGATGAAGAAACAAACTCGCCTACATCTTGGATGGCCTGAGGGTACATACATAACATACATTTTAATGGCGAATGAATACAGCATTAGGCAAGGCAAGGCAAGTTTATTTATATAGCACATTTCGTACACAATGGTAATTCAAAGTGCTTTACATAAAATAAAGTAAAATAATCATTAAAAAAAATCACAAAAATAAAACAAGGAATTTAAAAACTTTGAAAATGATTAAAACAATTATTTAAAATGAATTTAAGACATAAAAGATCATTAGAAAATGATTATACATAAAATACAGTGCAATCAGTTCGGATTGCATAAAATACAGTGCAATCAGTTCTGACCGCACAGTGCTCATTCAATAAATGCACAGTTAAACAGATGAGTTTTGAGTCTAGATTTTAAATGTGACTAATGTTTTAGCACATCTGATATCTTCTGGAAGCTGGTTCCAACTGCGGGCGGCAAAATAGCTAAAAGCGGATTGCCCTTGTTTTGTGTGAACCCTTGGTATTTCTAACTGACTCGATCCTAATGATCTGAGTGGTCTGTTAGGTTTATATTCAGTGAACATATCTGCTATGTATTTAGGTCCTAGGCCATTGAGTGATTTATAAACGAGTAAAAGTACTTTAAAATCAATCTTAAATATAACTGGTAGCCAGTGTAAGGACCTAAGGACTGGTGGGATATGCTCAGATTTTCTGGTTCTAGTCAGAATCCTGGCAGCAGCGTTCTGGATTTCTGTTTTTTTTTGTTTTTTTTAATAATTTTATTTATAACAGTTTTTATATAAACATAAAACAAATAAAAGTCTCACAAAATGTATAGAAAAAATATACTGTACACAAAAATCTCAAAAAAAGAAAAAAACAAAAAACAAGAGACCCCCCACCTACCCCCACGAACAGGCACCAGATACAATTAAAAATATACACCTTAAACAAAGACATACGAAATCAAACATAAACAAAACGTTAAAGATGGAGTGAAGGAATAAAACAGAGAAGCTATCCATTCAACTCTTAAAAAGATACCTAAGGAAGGGGCCCCAGATTTTATCAAATGTTTTAGAAGCATCGATCTTGGAAAAGCGAATCCTTTCGAGCTTAAGGGCGGCAACCATCTCCGCCAACCATTTATGAACACTGGGCGGTAAAGAGGACTTCCAATCCCTCAAAATCACCCTTTTAGCTACTACCATACCAAACATAAGAGACAATTGCTGAGAATGTGTTAATGCTAATGTAGGGTCAGAACATCCAAGCAAAGCTAATTCAAGATCTGGAGTGATATCTTCTCCAAAAACATTTGAATACCACTGAAAAATATTCTTCCAAAACTCAGAAATCTCAGGGCAAAACCAAAAAGAATGAGCATGTGTGCCATCTGAGCTCTTACATCTTTCACATAATGGGGAAATTGAAGGGTAAATTTTATTGAGTTTAGTTTTGGTATAGTGTAACCTATGCAATACTTTAAACTGTATAAGTTGTAATCTAGCATTAATAGAGCAGGTATGAATTCGTTTCAGTCCCTCTACCCAAATCTCATTTGAGATATTAATCCTTTTCCCATGCTACTCTGAGGTGATCTGAAGACACTGCAAAATGAGAAACAAACAAAGAAACAAACCGTGTCACCAAATGTTTGTCCATAGGAGGTTGACCCAAAAGATCATACAGATCATGATCCTGAGGCAAATCCTGAAACTCAGTAAAAGAATGTTTTATGTAGTGGCGCACCTGTAAATATCGGAAAAAA